CCCGGGCGGCCCCCGCCAGTGGCCCTGGATAGCCGTGTGTGCGTGTGCTTGGCCGCCGCGCTCGGGAGCGGAGCTGCGAGTCCGGGGAGAAGATGGCCGCCGCTGCTGCTGCTGCTACTGCCGAGCGCGCTGACGTCATGGGGGCTCTGTCGGCCCCGTTAACCCTTGGCAGCCCTGCCGGCCGCTGACCCCCGCCGGGCTCCCCACCGGCGCCAACACGCCTTGTCCCCTTCCTGCGGTGTAACCAGGCTGGACACCCCACGGCGCAGCACGATGCAACACCTGCCGTGACGCGATCTTCACCGCAGTCCCGTTCGCTCTGTGATCTCTACAGGACGGATCGGGCTCGTTTCCCAGGACAGCCAGTTGTGCATTTTCCCTTTCATTTTCATTTGATCTCCCCCCCACCACCACCACCACAAACCTGTTTATTCGCCCTCCTCGCACCCGAGGAGCAGCACTGCGAGCGCGCTTACCTGTGCCGTCCTTCACCTGTCGGCTCGCCCGCGCAGGGACCGGCGTCTGGACGTCCCTCGGGTGGGAATCTGATGGGATCTGAGCCGCTCTCTCAGCTCGGTCCTGTACCGATGGTGTGGTCACAGGTATACCCCACACACACACACACGCATGCGACTCAACGCGCCAGTGAATCTTAAAGAAAAACCTGTCGCCCAGCGGTCGTGCGGCGCGTGGGCGGGCGGGCAGGTGGAGGGGAGCGAGCGCGGGTCGCGAGAGCGGCCGCGGGCTCGTGACAGTGCGGGACACGCAGCGTCGTTTTCACGAAACTTACAAGTTATCGTCCTCATTTGCAACTTTGCACTGTGAAGCAGCGGGAACCTCGATGACGCTTCGTGGATTTATTACAGCACACCTCATACCTTACACGGCATGATCTGCCTCGTGTTTTACGGGCATCGGAGAATCTCCACAGGCGGGCTGTCGTCAAACTGCGTTTGCACTGTCGAGCCTACGACCTGCCTCTGATGGACGCCGTCTGCCTGCTCATTATAAATGAGCACTTATCCTTATCATCTTGCTCTGTGTTACAATGCACAAACGGGCCGGCTAAACTACAACACCCCAAAAAATAAATAAATAAAACAAAACACAGCCTTTCCATAAAAAAAAAACATTTTCATTTACTTTTGTAAACAAACTATACGTCTGTTGGGATGAGAGCATTAATCCAGAAGAGCGAACGAGCGGGATTATTTGTGCCTGTTCTAACCTCTGACCTCCTGTATTGTTTCTTAACCTGCCCTATATTGAGGCCCATTCAGGAGCAGCTCAAGTTTATGCATGCTGCCAGAGGACTAGTGCTAATCAATATATTAGAGTAGAGATTAGAGATCATATATATATATATTAGAGTAGATATTAGAATAGAGTGATGTGCAATGTTTTTCTTATTTGTAAAAGAATAATGGACAAGCCGTTGCTCTTTCTTTTACAGAAAAGACACACGGGCCGCTCAGCAGATGCCCGGCCTCCAGATGAGTATCTGCGGTTCTAGAATGGCTCGCGTCACATCCTGAAGAAAAACGAACTCTGGACAGAACAGAGAGCCCCCCAAGAGCCGACCTGCCCCCTGCACGCTGACCGGCACCCCAGGAGAGCTGGGACCCCTTTCCCCAGATTCCGGGCCGGGGTGTGGGAAACAGCCCCCCCCCCCAGGGGAGGGAAATAGCGGATTCCCGCCGCACATTCCAGGAGCAGATACTCAGCTTATCTGCTGATTTTTTTTAAACAAAAAAAGGCAGCGCAATGTCCTCGTCTCCGAGTTCACACATCATGGCTCGAAAAACCCACGGCTGTCCGCGCGGACAACAGTCGCCTCTCAAGAATCCAAACCCCACCAGCGATCGCCGGAGCGGACTGGGAGCAAGCGCGACGTTCGCTGCTGCACACGGAGCTGGGCCGAAGGC